AAACATTTATTAATATGCAGCGAAAAATCATATCATAACAACTTTGTTTTAAACTCATAAATAAAGTATTCAACTTCAAACCACACAGTTTAACATTAACTCAAAAACATAGCAAATGTCTCGTTTCTGATGTTACAAGATTAGAGCACTAGAACCAGTAAATTGCGATAAAACCATAAATAAAACGAAGAATAGCTTTAACAAGTCACCTTTCACAAACAACAACAACAACCTTACTCCTGAGTATCGACAAGATGTCCATGGGGGACAACATTAAGCAAAAAACGTGAGAAATAAACTTTGATATAAACGATGTAAAGAATGCAAAGGTAGAGAAACATATAACAAGTCATAGATTCAATACACACCTAATGTCACCATGATCTCAAACTCGTTCATAACAATGTGCAAATATATATGCAATGTGACTCATGACACAACGAGACATTATACATATGGTACCAACTCAACATTTGGTTCTCTCAGGAACCAGGTCCCACCTTTTGAATCCATGAGTCTCACTTCTGAGCTCCGAGCCCCTCCCTCCTCCTTCTGAGCATGGGACAAGCCACTAGTCCCTCCTTCTGAGCTAGTGAACATGTTTCTTTCAGTGAAACGACACAATGATGCATGTCTATACAAATCTATGCAACAACAATAATAATTCTTACGGCCCCGCTCTGACCATAAACAACATGCATTGACACACAATAGTAATCTCTCATTTTAAATTATTATTCACCAATAATAACACAATGTAACCCAATGATACATGATTAATTGCCATATAATCATGTATTTCACAACAATGTTAATCATATTTTCATCATGTAACAACACAAAACAGCATTGTGCGGATCTCATACCATTGCTACATATAAACGACAACCGATAAGTAAGGTAATTATTAGTCAATAACAATAATTCCACACTATTAATTAAATTTATGATAATTAATTAATTAATGATACCAACACGACCAAACATTAGCCATACATCACCCAAATAGCAGAAACACCTCAAAAACTTGAACCGACAGCTCAGACCATGCAACGGGGATGAGAACGCCCCTTCTGACAGTATGACGAGTGATGCCATCCACACTGCTTGAAATACAATTTTCTATGAGAGGACAAAACACTTAGAGATATATTGCCACTTTGTAAGAGAAAAGGTCCAAAAACTGTTCTTTAAACTGCTATCAGTTTCCATTCAAGAACAACTTGTTGATTTTGTTACCAAAGCATTGGCTCCACCAGAATTCAAGGCATTTGTATCCAAGCTTGGAATGCTAGATATTTATCATGGTCAAGCTTGTGGGAGGATATTAAATGACAAAATAACAAGTGATTAAAGTCTCCATAAGCTAAGAGGGTGCATGGCACTTGGTATAGATGTTGATCATGAGGTCACTTGATACACAAAGTTATAGAACTTAGAGGTAGAAAATTTGTTGTAACTGTCATAACATAATTTTAAAATTCTATTATGATTATTCCATTATTTGCTTGTGTATGTTAGTTATAATGTAGCTTCACGATGGACCTATATAATCTTGTAATCAGTTTGCAATGATTAAGTTGCGCATTAATACATTTCCTCTTCTTTCTCTAAAAACTCAAGCTTCATCCATGAAGTTTTTGTTCACTCAATAATTAATTACAATTTTTTAGTATGAAAATATTTTGAGTTTTATTATTTTATATATAAGAAAATTTGATTTTTAAAATTCTAAACACACTTTTTTTTTCTAACAAGAAACAATACATATATTCCATATATTATTTTCTCATTTCTGTTTTTAGACTTTGTTTGAATTGATAAAATATAATGGAATATAGTGATCTGAAATGAGATAGAATGTCAACTTTATTGTTTGAATTATTAAAATTTGGATCGAGCTGAGCATAATGAAGTGTTTTAGATTTCATTTTATTCTATCACTTACTATCATATTTATTCTCTTGCAATTTAGGCGGAACAAAATATATATTTTGTTCTATTCTAAAATATTCAAAGATGGAATGAATTCTTCATTCCAACACGGTTCATTCCATCTATTTCACTTCGTTGGTTTTATAATATCTAAATATTACCTTAACCTTCTTTCAAAAATTTTATCTAAATATCCCACATTTTCAAAAAAAAAAAATCCAAAATAACCCACTTTTCAATTTGTTTTCCGAAGTATTCTAGTTTAAGGGTGTGTTTGAGTGTTAGTGTCAATTCAATTGGCGACTGCCCGTTAGGCTTAAGAGGTGTAGCCAATTGAATTGGAGACACCATATGGTGTTGCCAATCCAATTGGCGACAGGGTGTTAAAAATTGAATGATGTCGTCAATTCATTTGAAGACAGTGTAAATGGCATCTAAATTTTAACACCTTATTGCCAATTGGATTGACAACACCATATGGTCATATGGTGTCTCCAATTCAATTGGCGCCACCTCTTAAGTCCAATGAGCACTCTCCAATTGAGTTGATGCTAGCACTCAATCACACTTTTAAAATGGAATATTTTAGAAAATAAACTGAAAAGTGAGTTATTTTGATTTTTTTTTTTAAATGTGGGGTATTTGGGTAAAAAAAAAATCTCTTTCCTTCTCTCTTCAAACTTTTATAATATGAAATATGCTGGAATGAAGTGGTATAAGATAAAATAAATTGATATTTTATTGTTTGAATCAATAAAAATTGCATTGCGCGGAACGGAATAAAATGTTATGAATTTTATTTCGCTCTATCAAAAACTTGTTTTATTCCATCATGAAATATTCAAACAATAAAATAAAATCTTTATTTCAACACAATTCATTCAACTCTATTCTAAAAATGTTTAATTGTTATGCACCGACAATATAAAAATATTTTACACTGTCATCCAATAAAAATATATCATTCTGTCATATCATATAATTAATTTAAAATTTATCAGATTACATAGTCGTCATTTGTTAAAGGTATAAAAATATTTTACAATATTAATATCAGTACATTACCTTTTTATTTTTTTCATTTCAAAATACTTAATTTATAATATCCACATATAACCTTAAGAGATGTTATTTTCACACTGCATTAATTTCCTTACATACACCGTAACAACAGCGTATATGATTATAAGGCAAAATGTTCTTGTACATTATTAAAAAAAGTAGAATTAGTAGACTTTATACATTACCATTACGACATAGTTGTTAGAAAATGGTGTCAACATGCCTTTTCCTTAACCTTAATATTATTTCTCACTTAACTTTTTTTTTCACACTAACTAATTTACTTGAATGTTTTATTGAAATTGTAGAAAATCTAACAGTTTTGAATGTAAATGTTACCTCTATAACCACACAAAAAAGAACACGTGTCTATGAAAACAGTGTTGATAAAGATAATAGAACAGGTGACAAGTTAAAAAAAAGAAAAGAAATAAAAAGTGAAGAAGCAACAACCAAATATTCTGGTTCCATTTCCACATGACAGAAGCAGTGTTTTGAGCACAAGTTAAATTGTAGGACACATCCTCCATTTGAGACAAGTAGACAATTACAACAGTTCCATTGACCCCACAACACTTTCCTACACTCTTCCTTATAGGGGGGACACTTTAAATTTAACGTGTCCCATTCACATCCCCTTTCCTTCTTTATTCTTTTAGCAGGCAAGATCTTGCAACCCTATATTCCATCTGTTTCACATCATTTCCAATTGCATTTCATTATTTGATTCTATTCTTTCACTATTTTTTGTCCAACCTATAACTCAACAAAATGTTATTAGTAAATGTTTTGTTAAACAAAGTCACTTAAGTTAACTTAGTTGATAATCAATCTTCAAGTGAAGAGGCGTGAGTTCAAATCCGCACAGATAGAATTTTATACCAACAAAGAAAAGGTAAAATTTTAAACATTAAATTTAAAATCCGTAAAATCAACTAATTCACCTATATGAAATTTAGACAATAGAAGAATTCAACATTTTTTTTTAAACTTAGAATATTACATTTAAATTTAAATTATTTGATTTCAATTAAATATCTGTGTCGATTGTGCCAATGGAAAGAATTCCTCTAAATTCTTATTATATATACTTAAAATTAAGAGCACCAAAGCATCCGTTTCAATCGTGCCAATGCAAAGAATCCTTCTAAATTATTGATCAGATACTTAAAATTAAGAGCAGCAAAACATCTGTTACGATTGTGCCAATGGGCATAATTCCTCTAAATTATTGATCATATACCTAAAATTAAGACCAGCAAAACATTCGATTTGATTGTACCAATGCAAAAAACCTCTCTTTAATTATTGATCATATACTTAAAATTAATAGCAGCAAAATGGATCTGATCGAACAAACAAATTCATTTTAATTCATTTTATTTATATTTCTTTTAGGGCGGATCAAAGTTTAAAATCTACCTCTTTTAATATATTCACTCTTCATCCTCTTTAATTTTACAACTTTTTAAAAATAGAGAACAACGGAGCCATTTCATTCTATTTTTAAAATAAAAAAAAAAAAAAAATTAGATTCACACACTCTACTAAATCACTTAAAAAAAATTAGATTCACACACTCTACTAATTCACTTTATCCTTTTTTAAAAAAAAATATATTTATGGGATCAAAATTTTAGACTCAAACTAGCTACTATGTCCCTCTGCCAAAGTTAAAACCCATAATTATCTACAAAATGTGTCACACAAATGTTGGTCTGCTTCCCTTTTACAATCACATAAAAGGGCATAATTTTTATATTTCTTTTTTTTTTACGAAAAAGGAAAACAATAAAAATCATACTACACTTTAGTAACTTTAACCCACTTCCATACTAAGAAACACAATAAATTAACCCAAAGATAAAATAATTAAGAACAGTGCAGTGCAACAAAAACCGTTTACTAAAAACGGGTATGTAATTGCAGTTTAAACATTAAAAAAAATTGTTCCAAGGAGAAAAAAAAAGTAATGATAGTATCCTATATGACAGTCCAAAGCGTCATTCGGTGTCGGTCATTTTAAGCCGTCGGATCGGAGAATCAAGCACATCGGGTGAAGAAGACAAAGGAGACGATGAAGGTGACACCGATGATGATGAAATGGACGGTTCTGATGAAAACTCATCAGATGCTTCCTCTAGTTTCCTTTTGTTGTTGATTACCACTCCATCGTTACCTTCAACGTCACCGTTAACTTTAACGTTAATTTCTCTGTTTTCGATTTCCCCTTTAACATCTCTTGTTGTCATGTAACCTTTCAAACGTTTTACGTCAGATAATTTCACTGGCTTCACTATAAAATCCTCTGCACCTTCCTCCAAACATCTACATATTTTCAATATTTACAAATCACTCCATTTTTTTCTATTCCATCAAAGTTTCATATTGTAACCACTAACACTACCAATTAATAATAATAATAATAATAATAATAATAATAATAATAATTTTGAAAATAAAAAAATATAAAAAAATAATATTAATAATAATACCTGTCTATGCGTGGCAAAATATTTTCAGAAGACATAATAACTACAGGAATTTCTCTGAAAGTGGACGATTCCTGCTTCAAAATGCAATTTCCAATCAAATTTCACTAAGATTATAAATTATAACAAAAAAAGAAAAACTTTGCAAAAAAAATGAATTATTATGAAAATAATTAAAACCTTGATTTTCTTAAGCAACTCATAACCAGTCATTCCAGGCATGCAATAATCTGTAATGACTAGATCCACCTTCAAACCCGGCTAAGAAAACAAAAAAATAAAATAAAATAAAAATCATATTAAAATTAATAATCTCTCATTAACTGGAAAATAATAAAAATACCGCAAAAAATGAATATTTTCAATTAGCGCACATACGACAAAACCATCAGATTCATCTAATCCCAGAAATTGTAGTGCTCTGATTCCACTATCGACGGCAGTAACTAAATAAAAAAAAAAAAAAAAAATTAAGATTACAATTCTAGACGGTATAAAAAAATTCTGCATTTTCGTTGTATTTGTGAAATTACAAAACTAACCTTTACAAGCTGAAATTTTGAGCAACCGTTCAATAACTTTCCGATCAACTAAACTATCATCAACGGCCAGAACATGAACCTCTTCATCTTCAACACCAATTGAAACGACACCGTTTGTCTCCATTGAAGAAAAAAGAGAAGAAAACGAAAGAGAGTGAAAAAAAAGAGAAAGGGAACTCTTTAACGTAGGTGTCAAAACTTTAAATATATGCGACAATGTGACATGTTGTGGTGTTTTTTGATTCTACTATATCCATCTGGCACCGCTTTATATTTTAAAAAAATTTTAAAGCTTTTTTTTTATTTAGCATAAAATGATGAAAATGAAATCTTTTTCTCTCTCTAAGAAATCTGAAAATCTTTTTTAAAAAAATTTATAGTTGGAAGATGTTGATGGTGTTGGATAATGGAGATGGAGATGAGATTCTGAAATCCACTTTGGGATGTGATCTCAAAGACTTTCTTTTTTGATCCCTAGGATGCATTTATATTTACAAGTAAATATTTAATGAAATTAACCTAAGATGATTTTTCGTGATATTTTTGTTATTCTTGGGAATTCAATTCGGTGTGAGGTGAATTAAGCCGCCGGGTTTGAACCGGTTTGAATTTGATATGCCTAAGTTAATTTTTAGATAGGAATGTTCATTTGTTTGAACCAATCTGAATTAAATTGAAATATAATTAAACTATGACGTTTGGTTTAAATTTTTTTTTGATATGACACGGTTTTGAAAGTTATTGGGATGAATCACGGAACAATTCATTCTCTTTAAAATGTTTTGCGACATTGCTTAAAATTATGCAAAACAGTCTAACTATCACGACGCATATAGGATAAAACAGTTCAGTTCAACGGTACGATAACTACTTGTATGATGTGTATTATTCTAAAGATGCAACATCTGATGGCATTAAAACCACTTGATGATGGTGTTAAAACCACTCACAGACAAGCCACTCGAAAAACAATAAAAGAAAATTATATAAGAAGTGCATATGGGAGAGAAGATAGAGATTTCAGATTGTGAAATCTCTTGTGAATTGCAAGTGATGGGAATGACGTCATTTATAATTTAGAATCGAATCAGAATAGAGAAAAATTGTGGGAGTAAAACGTGGGAGAGTGGAACCGCCCCAGTCAAGACTAGTTGTTATTCACTTGGTCAGAAAGACATTTGTTGACTCTTGTCGCTACCACGAAAATAAGGTGTCGGCAAAACAGAAGAGTCGTCACCTTTCGTTATTTATCCCTCAGAACGGGAAAGGAAACGATCGGAAAAACCTGACGAAAAGGTATAAGACAAGGTCATCGCAACCATTGTCTGGGTTCGGGAGTCGGTTACGCAAGGGGAAGGTATTAACACCCCTCACGTCCATCATACTCGATGGGATCCACGCTTGTTGTGTTTATCTGACGGGTTTATTTACTATCTACCTATCAAGGCTGGTCTGAAAAGAAAAGAAAATGACTCGGCAAAGCGTCGCGCTTTATGCCTACGTATTCTCATCAGAGAATGAGAAATCAGAGTCAACGTAGTTCGGCTAACTACGGGTAATGGGGAAGGTGGCTCGCCAATGCGTCAGTATTGTGCCTACGTACTCTCAACAGGCATGAGAGATCAGAGCTTACATAGTTCGGGATAATACGGTTTACGGGGATTCAAATTCATCTGTTTTTTCGAGTAGGGTTAACAAACAGTTCCAGCAGTTTGGTGTACGCAGCTCGACCTTTGGAGACTTAGGCGTTACCGTTTACGGTAGAACTGGGAGTTAACGACACTCTTTTCTTCAGAAAAGCTTCCTTTGAATTATGGGCCCACGGGGCAAAAAGATTTGAAGTTTGTTTTCTGTCTTTTACGGAAGAACTGTTTTTTAGTTGTCTGTAGTTTGTACAACACTAGAGACTATGACCTGGGAACGAATGCGTCGCATATCGTCCAAAGGACGTATACTAAACATTCTAGACGATTGAGAGGAGGCCGTTCAATTATCATTACCCAAGTAGATTAAGGCTCGTATCGCGCTTATACTAACTTGCCTTTATTACGTTTTTTTACTGTTGTTTCAAGATGGGAAGAGAGGGGGACAACTACGGGGAGACTATCAAGTCCTAATGTTGTCATGCCAAGGATTCATCCTATGGTTGAAGTTTGAAACAGGGAACTCCTAGAAGTTATCATGCATAGGTTTCAACCTAAAGTTCTAATCATCACTTCCTTATCAAAGGAAGTGAGATTCCTAGGGGATCATGTCAATGATAAACGGAAACAGATAAAGCATCAGCTTAAACAGTAAACAGTAAACGACTGTAAAATACATGCAATGCAAGTGAGGGAGGAAATGTATGTGGGGAATCAGCCTCCACAAGCTCGTCTCGACCTCAAGCCAGATATGAATAACTGCAATCATAAAAGAAAACTAAAATGCCATCAAGCAAATCACAAACCACATAGGCAAGGGAGCAGAGCTCTACCGAATACCCGCAAGCAAAGCCATACAGTAAAAATACAAGCAGAGGGAGCAACTCAACCTCTAATGCAATTAAGCTTCTAGCTTAAAACCATTTAAGCATGAACTTATTCTAATGCATCAAGCAAATCAAACAAGTCACATCAATACATTTGCACAGAAAGCAAACAGACAGGAAAGAAAGCAAATCAACAGCTTCCACAGCCTCACAGCAAAGCAATCTTCTGACAGCAGTTCAGTCCTCAATCTGTAACTGTTCTTCAAGTCTATCCTCTTCAAGAGAATGAAAGGCACTCCATTTTCAAGCTTCAATCTTCAATAGGCTCCACCAAGAATGAAGAGAATAATCATCAGGGAAGTTGCTTGATAATGGAAAGCAGACAGTAAACCAAAGGAATCCTGTCTGACACTCAACCAGTCATCAGAGAAAGGCATCCTCAAAAGTTCTACTCATTGTAAATGTCACACATCCCTCCAAAGGAGAGATGAGACTTAAACATGAGGACTTTGAATCATAGGATGAGAATGGAATTGGAACAAAACCAACGATTATTTGAAGAAACATCTATTTCTAAAACTCTCTCCTAAAGCCCTAATTTCCTAAGTTATTCAAAGCTAACAAAAAGGAAGGAAATCTTCAATCCAAGCTCCACTAGCCACTTCACACAAGCTCCATCAAGTCCATGATGTATTCCAATGAGATCCATAAGCCCACTATGCAAGGAAGTCCAATTTTGAGTCCACTCCACATCAATCATCAACATTGAAGCACCAAATAAACACTCAAGTAGAATATTCTATCAAAAATACTAAAACACATTCTAAAAATCTGGTTAATTTTCTATGGGAACATGCATTCACCAATAACCTATAGTTAAAAAATCAGGACCTAATTCATTCTCCAAGTCCTCCAAATAAAATTCTAAACTTCAAGGTATCATACTAAACCCTAAAAGGGAGCTCCTAAAGTTCTAGTCCTAAAACAACACCTAAATTCATCACAAAAATGTGAGAAAAATCTGAGGGGAGCATACATATCTAACCTAATCACAAGCAAAAAATCAAGCACAAACTCAATACCAAATGCTCAAACAAAATTCACCAAATAGATGAATCAATTAATACAATTTTATTATCAAATAAAATGAAAATAATCAAATAAAATGAAAATAAATGCTAATCCTAATCTTTTTGTTTCTAAAATTCCTAAATTCATTCATGAATCAGGGAAAAAACTCAGAATTAATTGATCAATTTTTCTATTTTTTATGGATTAAAATCAAACCAACCAAAAATGAAGAAAAAAAGAAAAAAAAGAAATAGAAATTCACAAGAGGCGCGTGGTGAATAGCAATGAACTTCAGTTCATATCCTGGGTTGGGCCAAAAAGGGGGCGTGAATATCAATTCAACATTAGGCCCATGCGCCTGAATTCACTCATGGTTCTCTTCCAAAATTGAAATGAAGGGGAAAAAATGAATTAGCCAGGGTTCGAACTCGTCCCTTATCTCTGAATTACTCACTAATCCAAAACGGGGCGTTTTGAGGGGGATTATGTGGCAAGCTCCTGAACACACGATGGTGAGACTGGTCAATGCATTCAAACGTCCTCATGTTGCCAGCACATTAATGAAAACGGTGCGTTTTGCTTCAGTCAAAGTCAGCAACTGAAACTCAATCGTGGCCGTGGATGATGAGTACTAAGTCCAGTCTTCAGCAAGATCCAATGGCTCAGGTGCATCTTCTCCATTTGAACTTCAGTTTGGGGGGGAAAACCAGACGGTGGCGCCACCGTCTTCTCTGACGAAGACAAATACACAGGTCATCCAAAACTCACAAACCATACATCATTCAACTCATATTTCAATGTTGATCACGAATATACCCTTAGAATCATCTAACTCCCTATGGATTTTCAAACCCGATAGCATTTTCAAAATATACCTCAATCTTGATTCTCACCAAAGTCCAAATTAAATGCACAGATGTAATCCTCATCTCATGGTGATCATCCTATACTATCCAATCTTGATTATCATTCCAAGAATTACCTAATCCAAGGCTCAATAGAAATTGATCACACTCCTACTTTGTCTCTAATTCACCAATTTCTGATCCTAAATCCAACTACATATTGCAAGGATCCTAACCACCTATTGATTTCTATCTATCTCCTCCTAAATTATGCACAAGGATGAAAGTTACCAACCTGAGTTCAGAGGTGTAACAGAAGTACTTCTTGCTCGATTCAACCTTCAAGATGATGCAGATTCAATCTAAATCACCTTCTGAAGCTAATGTCATCTTCAATTTGCCTTGATTCCTCCTTGAACTTAGAACACGATCTTCACTTGCAACTCTGAATTTTCAATTGCTCTTTCTGCTACCAGCTTCAAACTCCTCCAAAAAAATGGCTGAACACACTCAATGGTTTATATAGAACTTGATGGAATCATCCAGAAGTTTCTCAAAGCTTCAGAATGAGATTTTGGAATTTCAAATTCTCACCAAAATCTCATTCATGGCAGTCACTGTTTCCTCTCTGTTCTGGCCTCAGCTAGCTTGCATTCAACTTCTCATGAGATATTGAACATGACTGGTGGTGATTCTCCCCCTTGTTTCAATCCAATGGCTCATGTATGTTATGTTACT